CTTGCTGAATATGAAAATAACATTACAATTAATAAAATATTTCTCCAATTATATATTCTTTAAGACTCGACTTGCATCTTTATTCATTAATGAATCAAAGGTTCTTTTTCTCTGTATTCATAAGCTAACACTGGAACTGATCTTAGCACTAGCTAGAGAATGTGCAAAACATCTCAGAATTGCTGATATTAACGCTAGTGATGCGAAGAAGAAAGGTTGCGGATGGTTCTCAATATGGAGGGTATGATTGTATGATAGATGTACCCAAATTGCACTTGATTTCTTAGATGGTTATAGGTAAATATTACAATTTTAAGCTTTACAAAACAATGTTAATATTACAAAAATATTACAAAGGTATTATAAAAGCATATCAAAAAAAATGGGTTTTTAGCTAAGTATCATTACCACTATTATCATCATTGTCATAATCAGCTGTAGCAATAAAGTAAAGAAAAGTATTACCACTATTATTATTATTATTATCATCATTATCAGCAGTAGTAGCAGTAATAAAGTAAAGAAAAGTATCATCATCATTACTATTATAACTATTATCATTAATATTAGTAGCAGTAATAAAGTAAAAAGAAGTACCAATACAATTATCACCATCATTATCATTATCATCATTATTAGTAGCAATAGCAACAAAGTAAAAAGAAGCATCACTACTATTCTACTACTATTATCATTATCATTATTACTAAGATTCTTTAAAAATATCTCTAATAATTAAATTCATCTAATATATCATACAGGATATAAAGATCTTATTGGGATATTTTACTTTTAATTAGCATCTATTAATTATAACAGTAATTTAATATTTAATCTCTTTAAATTAAATAAATATTTAATATTAATAATATAAAATATTTATTTTTTAGTGACATATTCATCAGTAAAATATAATATATAATAATTAATTTAACATTTTTTTATTTAGCATCATCTATTATATTTTAATAAAAAGTTTTATATCTTCAATTTTTGTTTGTTGATTACTAATATCATATATTTTTTAAATTAAAGTTTTATTTTAAGAAGTAATAAACTTTAAGAAATAATAAAAATAATTTAAAAAGATATTCTTGCTTAAATTAGTCTAATCATCAAAAGCTGCTATTACTCTAATTTTATTATTAGATGTAACTTATAAAATTGATTTTATTAATTTATTTGCAGAGTTTAGAAGTATTCTATCACTTATTGTCTATTGTCTAAGTAGCTTTAATGTAGGTATTATAAAATTAAAAATATCTTATATTTTCTTATTTTTTATAAATGTAAAAGGAAATCATTTTAAACTATTATAAGCAATACCAAATTTTCAAAATGTTAGTTATCTTTAGTTGATAATAAATGTGAAATATAATTAATTTGAGAAGTTTGTTTTATTGTAATTGTAAAAAAATTAGGTGGTATAGATTTAAAAATAATAATAGAATTATCATTATTTTTAAGTTTAAAAGTTTCTTTAGTAATATTTTTTTGTTGAAAAAGTTTTTTTCATATATAATGTGAAAGAATTTCTTTTCTTTTATTATCATTATATTCTTGCTTAAAATTTAAGCATTTTTTAAATGTACTTAACATAATTTTGCTTTATTAGAAATAAAACAATTGGATCTTAATTATGCAATAGATAAGATATATTTTCTTATATATAATTAGCAAACGGCTTTTTTATTTGCTCTTAAATTACCTGATATAATAAAAAAATACACTTTTTTGAAAGTTATATTCTTTTTTTCATACTGCTTAAAAATATATTAGTTCAAAACAAATTTAATTTAACCCAAAATAAGGTTAAATAAAAAAAAAATCAGATATTCAATTAATAATTATATAGTTTGCATATGATTTTAATATAATCAAATAACTCAAATATTCCAGAAAATTCTGAATGACCTAAATAACATAGATCATTATATCATAAGTCATTTTTAAATGACCTGAATTTCAAATAAAAAAGAATGACTGGTAATTTAAACATGACTTAGGGGTCATCTGAAAATTAGTCAAATGATCAGATCATTTGTTATCACTATTATATATAATATTAATAATTCAGAATTATAATTCATGTAACATAAATTTCTTTTTTTAAAATTTCTTTATGGTATTTAAATGAATCAGAATTCTCCATAGAGTTATTCTATTAGAGCCAGAACCATTGTACAAAACTGTTTTAACCATTTTTATTTAATGTCAAATAAT